CCGCTGACGTGTCTCTCCCTCCCTCGCTGACGTGTCTCTCCGGCCCTGTGACCACCACCCAGAAAGTCTGTGCGCGCCGCGCTGGTACTGCTGCCCCTGCTGGGCATCACCAACTCCTTCAACATGATGACGTCGCCGGTGCACCGGTCGCCGCTCGAGTTCGGCCTCTGGAGCTACAGCACCACCTTCCTGCGCTCCTGCCAGGGACTCTTCGTCTGCTGCATCTACTGCTTCTTCAATGATGAGGTAGGCGATATTTTCATTTTCACGATGCTGGCGCAGATTATTGACTACTCAATTTATACTTACAGAACGTACGGCAACTTTATCGGAGAATTATGGTTGTGACTTGTGACTAAACAAATTTCGGCAACTAGCTGAAGTTTTCATCCCGTCCTATATCAAGAGCCAAAAGATAGGTAGGTAATAGGTATAGCCAAGGTCTTACGCTTTCGAATGCCGCTTTCCGTGTGTCGCTTGGTGGCCCAGCAGCCGAGTTACACTTGGGTGTTCAAACACTCCACCGGTCCGGCGCGGTTGGCGTTCAGCTCTGGCCCGGCGCGGGGGGTAATCTAATTTCAGGTCATCGTCGTCAAATACCTTCTCACCATAAGAACGCCTATCACTTCCCGGCTTCCCTGTAAGCTTGTGACCACCATCCCATCCACTGTTCGAAGTGGCATCGGCGAAATTAGAAAACTGATTTATGGTCTGTTCTCTATTGTATGAGAGGACGTCGCGCGGTACTTTCGTGGAGTGGGGTGGCAAACCCCGCGGGCAGTGATGAGTGACCACGTCCCGCAAGCGAAGCACGAGTTTACCCACCTATGGGAGTTATGTTTCGAACGCGGATTGAGCTCTAGGTCCATGGAAAAATATAGGTATGGTCTTCATAAGCAATTGAATTTTGGCGGAATTCTTCAATTTTTCGAACCATGCATGTCTGGTCGCTTGGAAGTATTGTACAGCAGATACATATATGCCCGTTCAGTACCTTTCATCTGAAAGCACTTTGCGTAATAAGTCGTTTTAATTTTTCACCAACTCTTGAATCCAAGAAAACCGTCGAATCAATGAGAAACAATAACATAACAAAAAGGTTTTGAGACAGACTGACACTAAAAGTTATACATACCTATATCGTCAACGTTTTTAGTGTGCCCACTGCCCATGACAGTAAAAACATAAACGATGTTAAGTCGAAGTCTATGAACGGATGGTTTGCCAGTGTTACTGTTGACTATCATTATTGCTGCACGCATTCGCTGTGCATCCGAAGTTTATAACATTGGGGGATGGCCATCTTATGTCATTTAACCCTATAATTCAGTTCCCCTCGACTATCGCATACTCTTCAAAACGATTTCATCGTCCATGAAATCTTGCCCCACGTGCCGCAGCTGAGTTCATGAGTCCGTGACCCTTAGCCGCCCACACGCTTCTCAGTTTCATGATATTTCACTCAGTGCCGGTGAGTCAAAGGCGGAAACCTCGGCGGATTAGTGCCGACAGAGAAGTTTCGAGGTTAATTCAGTTACCGGCAGCACATTTAGTTCAACTTGTCGGGCGAGTCTTTGGGAGACGCAGCTGGTTCGGTCCGTGCAGTGCCACTCGGGACGTGGCGCCGTCAACAGCACCGGATGTAGACAACTTCCACAATGTGCTTTACAAAATGCATAAACACGAGGCCCGGGCCTTTCCCGTGTGAGTTATGGCCATTGTCCGTCCACGGTCTAAGGTGGCAAACGGCTCGGTTATGCCACACGCTGCCTTGAGTCATGGAAGTCTTCACACCCCGGGAAATAGGAATTATAGGTGTGTTCGCACACACCTGCCTTATAATTAGGCTGTTTTGGACTTCGGTAAGCTCGTTTAAAATGGTCATTGAAGTTATTCTGATTGTTCATTGGTAAATGTGTTTGCAATTTGCATCGTCTCTGCCTGCGACGTGTCATCGATTGCTCCATTACCGCGATTTATATTTTCCAATCAGAGCGTTTCATATAAAACCTAATTGTAAGAAGACGGCGCATGAAATAATCGACAGCACTTTACACATTATACGAAATGTGTCTTGTTGCGTAATCAGATAAATCAAAGGTCGGTGTAGGTCTATCATATCAGACGTCGCTTCGCAAGGCAGGTCATAGACCCAGGTTATATTGATGGACTCCAATATCCGGACCATTTGTCATCTCTAGAAAGAATAGGTAGTGGCGGCTGGTAGCTGGAACTTCGGACCTGCGCAGCGCGCATTCATCTTTACCTATCTCAACATCTTCAATATTCTACGTTCATCCAAAATGCCAGTGGCATATACGTATACAGTATCCGTTGGCTTTCGGGCCTATGGTATAGCGGAAGGCGACGAGAACATATGGATACGTTTCATGCCTGAATCCGTGTATGTGTACACAGTTGGCTGCACTGAAAATATGCAATATCTTACCGGGATTGCTCGAGCCCTTTCACCACGTGTTCGGTTCTCGGGGCGATTGTAAATGGAACACAGCTTTGGGTGCACTGAATCAAACACAATTTTAGTGATTGATAGGCCTCGGAAATGCCAGTCTGGCAATGTTGCGCCGTGATATGAAGAGCATGGTCTCGGTCTTACCTTCGGGCCATGGAAAGTAATTGAAAACTTATCCCCCGCCTAACGCGCCCGAAATAAAACACGTCAAGTGAAAATCTCTCGTCATTTCTCCCGCATCTCAGTAGCTCGATCCTAGTTGGTCCCTCTCTCTGAGCTCATAATGGTAACCCATTCTCTTGGTGAGCTCCATATGGTAGCGTCTTCCTTCACCATTCATCAATCTCCATGAGGCCACTAGACACCCTCTCTATCTTCAGACCTCCATATAGTGACCCCTCCCTTCCCAAAACTGCACGGCTGACCTTTTCCCCAAGCTCCACATCTTGACCCTCCGACCCATGTGTAATTATGTATGCATTCATCACTCCCTCTCTCTCTCTCTCTCTCTCTCTCTCTCTCTCTCTCTCTCTCTCTCTCTCTCTCTCTCTCTCTCTCTCTCTTCTCTCTCTTCTCTCTCTCTCTCGACCTTGGTGAGGTGGCCGTCCCTCTCTCCCGCTCACCCGTTCCTCTTGAAGTGGTCGATGTTTTCCTGACTACCGTGTTTTGTCCACTGGCCTTTCTGTCTTCCGTGGGCAGTTTTTGTAACCTCCTTCTTTATTGAAGACCAACAGGCAGTGAATCATTGCTTCCAGGCCTCCACCTGGTGACCTGTTCCTCCACCTCCATGTAGTGACCCCTCTCCCCGCTCTCCCTACGGCAGGTGAAGCGCACGCTGCGCCACTTCTGGAAGCGGCGGATGGCGGCGCGGCGCGGCTGCCGGCGCCGCTCCAACCGCTCCACCTCGCTCTTCGACAACCCGTCGCTGCTGGATGCTGCCCGCCGCCAGTCGAGCGTGGCCGCCCGTCTGCGCACCTCGCTCGACTCACAGATCACGATCGCACCGCTCGGCCGGCGCCGTGAGCCGTCGGCTGCGGGCGTCCCCGCCGGCGCCGCCACCGCAGGCTCGTCGTCACCCAACGGGACCTGCTTGTGACCCATCGCCGAAGAGGCGCTCTGACGCCTCCCCAATCCAAACTCGTCTTGTGCTGAGGTCAAAGACGCTGAGATTGTAATTGCTGCAGGAGGTGGAAAAGCCAAAAGCTGTGGTATTGTCATACAAGTGGATGACAAAAGGGTATGACTCAGTGATGTCGGTATTGAATGCGAATGGCGTCGGTGTTGACGTGGAATGGCGTCGGTGTTGACGTGGAATGGCGTCGGTGTTGACATGGAATGGCGTCGTTGTTGACGTGGAATGGCGTCGTTGTTGACGTGGAATGGCGTCGGTGTTGACGTGGAATGGCGTCGGTGTTGACGTGGAATGGCGTCGGTGTTGACGTGGAATGGCGTCGACGCTGAAGCAGAATGGTGTCGGTATTGACGTGGGATAACGCCGGTGTGTATGATAAATGCCGTCGATGTGAAATGGCGTTAATGTTGATGTGGGCAGGCGACGTTGATTGTGGAATTGCGTTAATGTCGATGTGGCAAGGCGCTGATGTTTATGAAATAATGTCGATATTGACGTGGAATGACGTCAGCGTTGATGTTGAATGACGTCATGTCGATAAGGTCAGTGATGTTTTGGCCAGTTGTGATTGGACGGAGGGGCGGTCGGCAGCCGTGAGTCGACCCCGGACGGTCAGGGTTGTGTAGAGGGAACAGTTTTGTAGTGCGCGGTCATATATACACAGAGGTCAGTTGCCGGCGCGGGGTCCGCCGGCACTCTGCCACACTTGAGTAGTTCGCTCTAGCATCATTTACGTGTCTCATTCATCGTGTCTGCATGTTCATTGTTCATGTACTGTTGAAACGTCAAACCTAACGTTACGTGGTTGTAAGATACAAGCGTGCCAGTTGGTCATCATGCGCCTTCCTTCGCGTATTTTTTCTCCATCTTCCTTTGTTTCTAACTTGAACTCCTATGCTTCGTCAGAGTCAATCGTGTTGTTTCTTCACCGATGAAATCGGAACAACTTCAACACTGAAGTTAGTTTCCTCGTAGTTCTTTGAACTTCACAGGCACAATAATTGTCCTCCAAGTTGCATGCTTTTTGTCTTAGTTCTTTGAGCACTTGCTGCTGCTTATTCTAAAAGTGGCATTCGTTTCATCATGCTTGTCAATTTTCGAGGTTGTACAGGTAGAATGTTTTAGCCATCGATTCGCTTTCATGAATAACATAACGGCTTTCAGAAAATAAATGCGCCGGTTAAGTGCCAACATCAAAATACGTGTTTCATACCGATAATAAGGGTTAGGGTTCATACCGATAATAATGTTCAACACACATCAAAGGAAAAAGTAGGAGCATAAACTTTGTCCGGTAAGAGACTAGAATAGCTGGCTTTGCATTCAGTATCTGGCGAGGACCTCAGGCAATGAAACTTCTCGGCACTTCGTAAACTTCACACAAAACAGAAGTGCGTTCAATGCGTCAATCTATTTCGATGGGACAGCCGACAAGAACTGGCAAATCATATCAACGCGCCGCTGTACCAGGGAAAATGACGTCGCCGACCTCGCGAGCCACTATACAGCGCAAAGGTCCCGATGGGATCGCTGAATGCCCCGCTCCGCACACCAGAGACCGAACCTCCCAACTGGCAGCAGAGCGCACTCGACGGAATAGAGAAGCGTCCGCAGTCAGTGCAGAAACGAACAGTTACCTTACCGAGCGGCTGGTTAAAAAGACACCAGAAACACTGGACACAAGCCTGGCATTAGTACTTATACGGAAGTCTTCACTGGCACTCCAGCCGGAGAAACGTAATTCGATTAACTGCACGCAATTCGGAAGAATGTCGGAGTAACGCTTGACACCCGGCACAGAAAACAACGCTGAATCATACACACGGTTGCATCATGATCTACCTCCGATTCGAGTTCTGAGCACAGCTCCTAAAATATCTCCTTGGCTCCCGGCCACTCTGAGCGGACTGGCGACGACCACTACACATCCGTCCGTCCCTCCGCCGCCAACCCGACGGCCTTTCAGTTTGATACGTATGCGGGAGGAGCACCCAATATGACACTCAGCACGGCACCTAGCGGCGCCAGACGGGACCTGATGATTCAAGTACCACCTACTCCTCGGGACAGCCACCCTAACAACGTGCCGCCCTCGAACCACGACCGCTGCAGTACCACCGGCGAGTGATTTCCGCCGGAGGCACGCCTGGCGCGAGACGACGAGCTAGCATCACCACACAAAGAAACAAATTTTCAAAATCAAACAAAACAACATTAAACTCACGTCTCCTAGTACGGTTTACATGACAATTAGGTCTAGTGCCTGCGCAGCGTGCGAGCGCCACCTATCACAAGGGCTGGCAAGTTGCGGGTGAGCCGTGCGCGGCAGGTGGCGCTATCAGCGTGTGGACGGTGGCGAGTCGATGGTCAGCTGGCCGTAGCCCATCAGGGCCGACTCGTCGCGCTCGTGGGGCTCGCAGAAACCGGCCGTCTGCCGAGCGGCGAACGGGGCAGTCAGTTAGAAACGGGGTAAATTTTACGTGCGGCATTTGATCAACTGCGATGTAACCAAGAAGCAGAAGCTACCAGCTTCATGGCTTTTCGCACTTACTTCGCGCCTGCTTAATTTTTGAAGCCCATTTCGAAGAAGAAACTCTCTCAGATCCCTCCTATCTATCTTAGGACGCACCAAGCATAAACCTACTCCTCTAAACCTTAAACCCTCGCTCCAGGCTGCTCAATGGACGGTCACCATCATCCGACGGCAATAGCTTATCAGGAGGTTCACGTATGGTAGCGGCACACCATAGCGGCCGCCCCGCTCCCCTTAATTAAGCCTAATATCCTGCAATCCTGAAGTGGTCTTAGTAGACCGAAAGTGCTTAGCGCAGCAAAGCCAAACTCAAATCCGAAATCGAGAAGTTCAATACAATGATTTTCAGTCAGCTGGTTTTACCAAAACAATATGTGAATACTGAGTAAGATAAAAGCTGCCCCAGCATCGCTCCCCCCCCCCCCCCCATATCCACTAAACCACAGCTAAAAACCACCGGCCGTACCACTGCACAGCCGGTGCCCAGGGGTCACACCACGGCCACAGCACACAGCCGGCCGGGTCACCCCACAGCCACAGCACCCACAGCCGGCCAGTAGGGGTCAGCCCACGGCCACCGGACAGCCGGCCGGCAGCCTCTCACCCCACGGCCACAGCACACCCAGCCGGCAATCTCTCACCCCACAGCCACAGCACACCTAGCCGACAATCTCTCACCCCACAGCCACAGCACACCCAGTCGGCCAGTAGGGGTCAGCCCACGGCCACCGGACAGCCGGCCGGCAGCCTCTCACTCCAAGGCCACAGGACACCCAGCCGGAAATCTCTCACCCCGCGGCCACTCACCAGCGGGAAGGTAAGCGTGGTGACGCGCTGCGGGTCGTCCACGATCGACTGCAGCTTGGCGGCGATGACGATCCGGTCCCTGCCGTCCACCAGTCCGGCGGCCACCAGCTCCTGGGCCACGCTGTCGGCCGTGTCCAGACCGTACTCGTACTCGAAACGGATGTCGTTCAGCTCCCGCTGCTGGTTCCTGCGACCATGGAGGAAAGTTAGTTTGTTTGCTGGGATTTTAGGGCACTTTAGGACATATTTTAAGCCCAAAAGATTGACAAAGTGACGGGCCAACGATATAGCCTTCGTGACAGTCAGAGTATAGTTCCCAGCCATTTTATTCGGTATCTCTCATTGCGTCATGAAACATTTGACTAGCTTAACACGTTCAAACGCAATCCGGATATCCGGCTAGATACGACCGACCGCAACTGTCACTTCCCTGGCACCCACACACCGTCTCCAGAACCGCTCCAGTGCCACCTACCTCATCCTGAGCACTAGGTCGATGCAGTTTCGGGTCCCGGTGCCCGCCGCCGGCTGCGGGGCCGCACCAGTCGCTGGGGCGGCCGCGGCGGGGGCAGCGGGGGCAGTGGCCGCAGCGGCTGGGGGAGCCGGCGCCGGTGCCGGGGCCGGGGCGGCGGCCGGCGCCGACTGAGTGGAGCTGGCGCCGTCCGCCTGCGGCTCAGCCGGCCTGGAAGTCTGCCGCGAAAGGAGAAGGGGAAAGTCAGATGTCCAACTAGATAGGTACCGCGTCTAGCATTGCACGTGTAGCACTCAAATCACACGACTGTCTAACTCCGTCATACTTCATAGAAAACGATTCAAAGCAGACTGCAACGTTTTAAATCAGACCCCTGAGAGCTGCAGCTACTTCTCTCCAACTCACCGGGACTTCGTCGTCTGATTCGCTCGACTCTCCGGAGGACCAGACCCAGTTGCCCTCCTCGGTCTTGTGGAACCGGCCCGAGGAGCCCGGCGCTCGCTGCACCTGTCCGGCAAACAGGAGAGCGGGATTATCGACGGGGGACATGACAGCAGCGCTGGGGTCGCCACCAGCACAAAGACACTGGGTCATACCACGGAGATAGCACGACGGAGGGTTAACCTATCTACATTCTACACAGCGGGTCAGGGTGCCTGAACGTCAGATCGTTGGTACGGTGTTAAACGAACGCAGAGAAGCCATTAAATAGAAAATACAAGTAGGCTTTAGGTTAACTATTTTCAGACGACGGGAGATATACCGATAATCGAATGACATCGATGAATGAGTCAAAAGGTACTTACCCTGCCGGATGGTGCCGAGGGCTTGGGACCAGACTGATTGAACATCTGCTGAATGAACTTCTTGTCTTTGGCTTTCTTGAAGAAGGGGTGTTTCAGGAGCTCAGCAGCAGTCGGACTGAAAATTTCAACGGACAATTACCGTTAACCACCGACAGATCATCATCTCGACGCATTCAAAGACTACTGAACAGGAGAAAGGAGGCACACATAAATGATAAAACACAAAGTAGCTAAGCCATGGGGTGTTCAATTGTAAATGAATGAAAAAGATTGAGCTGATACTTCGTCCATCGTCCATCAATTCCACCTCGTCTCGCCCACCCGTCCCAGTCCTGTCGAGCGAGCTCTCACCGTTTCGCCGGGTCTTTTTGCAGGCAGTCGCTGACCAGCTTACGGATCGTCTTGCCGTATCCCTTGTACTGGTCCTTGTCCTCGGCGGCCGAGTCGATGGTAGGAGGGTCGTTCTACGGGGAAAGGGAGAGCACAGATTGTGTCACAAAGGCCACCTCGGTAAGTCGACAACGCGTACATGTCAGTTATCATCACTAAACGGATACAAATCCTAACCATTAAAGGCAAAGCTGACTCTCTGAGATACAGAGCAGCGCTCGCTCCGGCGGACCAGTCGTTGCGTGCACCGTCACCTCTGGCCTTACCTGCAGTGTCAGCATGAGCACCTTCATGGGCGGGTACTTGTGGTAGGGCGCCGTGCCGGTTACCAGCTCAATCACCGTGATGCCAAACGACCAGATGTCCGCCTTGAAGTCATAACCTGTCACCTGGCGGCAGATATAAGGGAAGCAGTGCATAGCAGACATGTCTTAGCAGCAAGTGATGATGTGGTGGATATGTGATTGAGAAACAAGCCATGACGCTCAAGTTCCACCGCACTAACTTCTTAATAAAACCTGATTAAGAGCAAAGTACCCACATAAACTGGTAAGCAAACTGAAAGAAGGAAGTAAACAAAACAATTTTTCATAAATTACAGAAAAGTCATCACATTATATACCGTGCAATTGAAAAAGTACCCCTACACAAAACGTCACACCCTAGGAACACCCACCCTGCCTGCCGTGTGTTGTGCCGTGGCCGGCCGCGGCTGGTGAGCGTCGAATGTCACCTTCTTACCTGTTCCATGACCTCTGGCGCCATCCAGCAGGGCGTTCCGACGAACGTGTGACGCGCCTTCTCGCGACTGAGGTCGCCGCCGGTGGCCAACCACGAGCTGACGCCGAAGTCGGCGATCTGGATGCTGCCGTCCTCGCCGATCAGAATATTACCCGCCTTGATGTCTCTGTAGAGAGGAGCGATACTATCAGCCATAGACCATCAATGCGCTATACATACACCATAGACCATACAGTATGGACGACAAGTTTATGAATCAGCATATTCATGGGCTTTGAGATGTGCCGTCGACATTTTGGACCGGTTGTTATATAACACAGACATGGCTCCCGACAGAATATATCTATTCAACAGCAGACCAAGGATAAAGACACAAAGCACTGCACTGATGAATATGCTCACGGTCAACAACGCCTCAATCTGATGAACATTTCATGCAGAGCACTCGCCTGTGGATCTGTCCGTTGCTGTGGAAGTACTCCAGACCCTTGAGCACTTCCCTCATCACCGTGGCGATGGTGGCCTCGTTGAGCACGCCGTGCTTGCAGTCCTGCGTCTTCATGCGGTGCTTGATGACATCTAGAAGCGACCCGCCTGTAACACGCATGTAGATCACATAAAAAGCTACAATTCGCGTACCTAACTCACACAGACAGGAACGATGCAAATTATGTGAATCGCAGGTACATAGTGCGCCAATGGAGATTGCACATAATTTTTTGACTCATTTTGTCCACACAGGTAAACCGATCAAATCCAGTGCCTTCAATGAAAAGTGGAGAGAGGCAGTAGATGCAGCAGTAGAAAACATATGCAATAGATATGAAGCTGATTTTGATAGTCTCGACCAATTGGACCCGATTGACGAAAGCGAGATTGATGAAGCTATATACCATCTAAAGAATAGAAAAGCTCCAGGATTCGACGAAATAACTACAGAACATTTGAAAGAAGCAAAAGGAATAGCAAACGCAACAATAGCAGGTATTATGCAAGAAATCATTAATACTGGCAAAATCCCAGATAACTTCAAGTTTGGATTAGTTACCCCGGTCTTTAAAGGACATGGAACCGATCCTTCTAAGACTGATAACTATAGGGACATATCTGTCCTTACCACCCTCTGTAAAGTTTTTGAGATACTGATCGTGAAACGACTTCACCCAAAGATGGTCGAGGCTGGTATCTACTCAGAACTACAGTTTGCGTATAAAAAAAGTAGAGGGACACTCCAAGCAAACTTTGTTCTCCAAGAAGTCATATCAGCTAACAGAGACATTGGGAAAACGACCTATGTTGCATTTCTCGACGTACGCAAGTGTTTTAACTCTATTTGGCACAACGGGGTAATCTACAAACTCATATGCGCCAACATACCACCAAGGTTGATCGTCATTTTGCGCAACTTGTATCGAGAGTTTTATGTCAAAGTGAAAGTTGGAGGAACTGTATCCACCGATGGTCGCATAGAGCAAGGGCTCAAACAGGGAGGCGTCTTATCATCGAGCATGCTGATCCTATTTATGGAAGACAAGATACGCATGCTGCTGGAATCACATAAGGGAGCCAAGATAGGGTGTAAACAAGTACCAGTTATCGCTTACGCCGATGATGAAGTACTCATAAGCACAGACCCAAACGAACTCCAAGAAATGCTTGATATCGCTTACAACCATAGTTGCTTGTGGCGTTATAGATATAACGTATCAAAAACCAAAATAATGGTCTTTGGCAAGACAGCTCCGGTACAGTGGACGCTTGGCACTGAATCAATAGAACAAACTGATGAATACACCCACCTAGGAATCATTATGACAACCAGAAGTCCAGCAAAGAGAAGGATAGAAGAATGCATGAAGAAAGCAAGAAGAACATTTTTTGCTAAGTGTAAGAAAGGAATCAACCTCAAAATGGACAATCCGATGTCACACTATACAACGTGGAGAATATATGCTGAACCGGTTCTAATTTACAGCCTAGCAGTTACATCCCTTTCACCAACAGATATCATGTAGGGGAGAGTGGGGTAATTTGGCCGGTGGTGTAAATTGGCCGCCCCCACCTGTACGATGTCTAATAAAAGTGAGTGAAATAACTCTAGTCTCTATTCATTTGTCATGGGTAGAAATAACTGGAGGACAAATGTCAAAACTTTGCCCCTCGTAGTTTTATTCAAAATTAATAAAACGTTAATTTCATTAGAAAATGGTAACTTTTACTTCTGTTTAAAAAGTTGTATAACATGTAGTATTTGGGCTAAAAACGAATTCAGACATTATAGCGCCATTCTTGGGGGTGTTCAGCGGTTCCAAGAGCAATTTTATCTAATTCCGTATAGCCGTGATGACTTTATAGACAAAAATTTTCAGAATGGCAATATGGGGTAATTTGGCCGGGACTAGCGGGGCAACTTGGCCGGTGCGCTCATGGTCACTTTGCTGGGACGGCCGAGTTTTCATGGTCAATTGTACCATAAATGACATGATTCATGACCAACTTTGACTACTTTGATGCCTTACTTCCGATTGGTTAACTGTAAGAGCATGTGACGTCATCAAAGGTTACCAAACTTTTTTTTTGCTAATAAATCCTCACATAAAAATGGTACAGCCGCACAAATGGTCGCATTCTGTTCAGCTCGCCAAGGCGCATCGAATGACATGCATGATGACCTTGAAATCACGTGACCTTGAGGTCAAGCGACCTGATGCAACGTGACCTGAGGTCAACCTTTGACCTTGACTTCTCAAGGTCAACTTATATATCTTTCGATGCGGACTGACGAGAGAATTACGATGGTACTCGAAGTTTTGGCCTAGCTTGATTACTTCAAAAGTTATTCGCAAAAAACTGTGATCGCATCTAGAGCCGCTAATTTGGCTATTTTGACCCCTGTGACCCCTGAGTCAACCTCCAAAATGCGGCAAATGCGTCATAGGACACACGTCATTGCTGAATCTGAAGCTGACTCGCAATATAACAGAAAATCCCGACCGCAAACTAACACCGGCCAAATTGCCCCACACCCCCGGCCAAATAACCCTGCTAGTGGGGCAATTTGGCCGCCTTGCAGACCTTTGTAATACGTCACAATTTCAATATAAGTAATTACTCTATCATTTCAAGTTCGCTGTCCAGTAAAGTAAAATGAATGCGACACCTGCCAGCGTTGAGAAAATGCAGAAATGTGTCGTCAATTTTAAGTTATATCGTTTTCTAAAAAAAAGCGGCCAAATTACCCCACTCTCCCCTACTTGGAAGGGATGCTCATGCGCATTTACCGTCTCATCCAAGGTTTACCAACCAAAACGCAAAAAATGGTGACATATGTGATGTTGGGTGCACCGACATGCACAAGCCTCGTAATGAGAACCGCACTCCAATTCATAGGTTTCTTTCTGAGAGCTGCGAAGGAACACACTCTAACCAGATATATCATCACCCATGGAGCAGTCAATGCTGATCGAACCACGAGTCTTGTGCGCCAATGGGACACATTGCTCCAACATCTGAACTTACCAAGCCTCTCTATTCTGGCTAATCAAAAAATAGACCAACCGCGGACAGCATGGAACAAGTTAGCATCTGCATCAGTGGATCAAAGTATGACAAAAATCATCAGGAACACAGCAGAGAATATGACAAGTTTGTTTTGGCTTTCGCTACTGCCACAAACCGAAAAGTACGAGGCGCCGAAAACATTTTGGCCGGCAAGCAAGTACAGCGCAATTACCAGACAAGCGACACTAACCAAAATTGTCCTACTAACGGGCCACTCTTTGGTGGCCACAAGCATGGTTAGAAGGCACAAAGAAACTGTTGTCTGTCCATTGTGTCGTAATGCCATTGAAACTCTGGAACACATGCTCTTTGAATGTGACAAACTGAAAGACGATAGAGTAGCTGCTCAAAAAATATACAAAACTATCTTGAACAGAACGCTACCAGCAGCAGAACTTATCATCATCGCCGATAAGCCACAAAGCTTGATCATCCATTATATCTACCAAGCTCGTGTGCGCAAGGAACTCACTGAGAATATAACCAAGAAGAGTAACTGTTAAAGAGTCCTCCCAACTATGATGTCCTGAAAATTTATATCATCCAGACAGCTAACATAATTGGAAGACGATCAGAAATGATCCTGCATCTACTAGATGGAGTCGACGAAATAAGTCTAAGTCTATTGTCGATGCATTCGATTACGAAGGGATTGCAGGAAGAGAGGTCAGCTAAGCTCGCTCATGCACTCACCATTGAGAAGTTTCAGCACCAACCACAGCTCCTCCTTGACGACGAAGCTGGTGAAGTATGTGACGACATTGTCATGGTGACAAGATGACATGGCAGTGATCTCTTTCTGTAACACAAGATCGAGGGGGTCATGGTGTTAAGGCGAGAGACCATTTGATCACGCTATTTCAGCTTCAAAAGTGACGATCTACTAGTGAATCCATTATTATAACACGACGCCACATGGCCAAGGATAGATACCACGATGAACATTTCAAGACGTGCATTTACTGCGTCAGTCAATTTGCAGGTCATGCACATACATTGATTAAATAAACTTACCAAAAGTTCGTCCATACTTGTGTTCCATTTTTCCAGGTTGATTCGTTTTATTGCACATTTCTCTTGTCTCGGTATGCATAAAGCCTCGTGCACCGCCGCAGTTGCACCGACGCCTGGGAAAATCACAATTGTTTCAGGGTTACATATTGTATTTACAACATAAATTGGGGAAGCTGACCTATACCCCACCCTATTCTGGGGTTTGGAACAAAAGGATATGGGCATGGTAATGCTAACTGCAAACAATTAGCATTACTTGAGCTAGGTAACCTGTGTTGTAGTTCATGAGCTAACACCATAAGGCAGTGGCTCTCAGAGCACTAAGCAGGCATGTGTTTGGGAGTGAGAATAGTAGTGGAGTTAACCCTATTCCTGGCGGGGGGGGGGGGGCCTCAGGAGCCCCCCCCCCCCCCTGAGGTTTTTTGGTTATTTCTCCCAAACGCGTTGAGCTAGGAAGCTCAAATTTTCTGACTTTTCCTAAAAGGCTTCTACGCAACATGTCTGAAAATTTTGAGTTGATCTGACCTCAGGTCAGGTCACCAGAGGCGGTTTGGTGACCCTACCTCAGAAAAGTTTGCAATCACGCCAGAGCTAGAGTTTTTGACCGATCAATTTCTTCTCTTCAGGGTTTAGTTAGGGTACCAGTATGTGCAATTTGTATATCTCGGAATTTTGATATCGGTGACCTAAGGTCAGGTCAATTTCGCGACCTCCCCATTATAAGTCAATGGGGGAAAAATCAACTCCCTGTTTTTACCACTAAAACGGGTCGGAATGGCCCCATATACCATACATGACTTCATATACGATCAACCTTCACTACCTTGAGGTCTGTTTTGCTGTTGGGCAGCTGTGAGGTCATGTGACGTCATCAAAGGTCACCAAAGGGTTTTGGCCAATAACTCCGTACAGGAACAAGATACAGACGCGTGGATGGTCTCATTGTGTTCAGCTCGTCAAGACGCATCGAATGATATACATGATGACCTCGAGGTCACGTGACCTGAGGTCAACCTTTGACCTTGACCTTTCGAGGTCAACATATATATCATTCGATGCGGATTGACGAGAGGATCACGATGATGCCCTTAGTTTGTTCCTATCTTGACTAATTCGAAAGTTATTCGAGAAAAACTCTCTCCATATCTAGCGCCGCCATTTTAACTTTTTCGACCCCTGTGACGTCATCTTTGACCTGACCTGAAAATGACCTCAGTAAAAATTGTAGATCTTGGCCGTGCGTATCCGATGCCGTTTACCGCTTGTCGCTATCTTGCTTCGTTCTCGAGATCTCAGGGGGGGGGGCCGAATCGGCCCCCCCCCCCCGCCAGTTTCTTGTCCCGGCGGAGCCCGCCAGGAATAGGGTTAAGATGGCACAAAAGGAGATTATCCAATTAATTTATGAAATGGATCACGATCTATGGTGTTTGAGTAATAGGTAATAAGCAAGGAGCATCCAAGATATTCTGAGGCATGTCATAATGACAGAGACAGGCCTTATTGGGAGTAAATGAACCCCAAGAGGCAAGAGGGAATAAGGTACTATTCTGTACCTACTAAAAATTCAGTCAATAGGCATAACATTCAGCAGTTTTTGAATGTGTAGAACTATAATTGGCATTCCCAAACTGAAAAGAGAAGTCCTACAGTAAGAATATTTGAGGCTAGAACTAAACACTACTCATGTAGTGTATTGTGCATAAGTTGAATTTGACACAATTATACTGGTCCATTCAGTGTTGTAGCCAAAAATTGTGAGTCAGGCCAAACATATCAAATCTAGAAAAAGAAGGTAACTCAGGCCATATGTTCCATTAGCTGATCTAAGTGAATTTGCCACATTCCAAAACATCTTGAACTTTGCATTACCTAATTGAAAACACTTTGAGACACATTGGTAAAAACATGTTGGTTGAATTCAGAGCTCCTTGCATTGCATAAGCTATCCCAGGAAAATAAAACAAAGCTGATCTCATGCCAGTCAAAGGTACTGACAAATTACAATCTTTTGAACAAATTGTAATTCCACCCAATTGAAAACAGAACAGGTAACTAGTCTAGAGCAAAATATTGATTTCTTGAAATAAAACATAAAAAACATCAACCCATAAGTTTTGTGAAGTGAATGTCTACTTTTACTGGGAGCATAGGCAAAAAGCATGGCAGTGAATATCTATCATTTAAGATTCATTGGTAAATGGTGACATACCAATTCATTTAGCTAGGTACTAGTTCCTTGCCTGGATTATTGAAGAACGCAGACAAAGCATTGGATGAATGCTACATAACCAGAATGCTCAGTATGCCTTATCTCCTGAATAAGTTTTAATTGTAGGAGATATAGGTATTACAGAGACAGATACTTAGCAAAAGCATAAAAGAAGACAATGATAAAATGTCGACCAGTAGGTAACGACTCCCAGATCTGGATTCAAGGTTTTGTTGGTGAAATTTGAAGAAAATTGATCAATAATTTACCAATTGTGAAAGTCATTCATAAAAATTTTCAAGCATTTAATTCAGCTTCAAACTGTGAAAAATCATGCATTTACATTGTTTGAGGTCGTCATGCCTTCATGTGTCTATCAACAGGAGCATTTAATACATTTTCTGCATGGAATTTGGATATGGATTAGCCAGAAAGATCAGAAAACAACCTATGTAATTGTTGCTTTCAATTAATTACCCGTATTATATTTCATTTATAAAATAAAAACAAATCCAAAAGCAATACAATCGAAACATATGCGCCATTTATGCCTCCGAACAGCAAAAGGCCATTACTTCAATATCTAGAGCATTTCGGTAAATGAAAATGCAGCGAATCGATAGAAAATTACAATATACAGTGCTTAATAGCATAGTACTTACCAATAACTTGTCCCAGTTCGTATTCATCCTTGTTGTTTGGCCACCCAGGGAGAGGAGTCGTCACGTCTGCCATCTTGTGAGAAAGAACGTTAGCTATAACTCGCGATGCCCGCCGCGGGTATGTGGCGAAGCCGGGGGCGACTCCGATCGCATCGCCCGCCGATGATCGGCGCCGGGTCGTCGTCATGGTGGTGATGATCTGTGACGGCGAGGACTGCTGCTGACTGAAAACACAACCGAGCACGACCCGTGTGAGACTGCCTTGTCACACATTCTGTCGCACACTAACAGATTAGCGACACAACTTTGCCTGCAAAACCGGTTTCGATTGCAGTTGCGTGACCTCGGAATGCGTCACATCACACCGTTGCCGATGCGAGCCATTTCGTTGCATTATTCATGCAAACACACACGTAACAACTACACACAAATACCAGTCATACATTTTCCTGCTCACCAATCAAAACTGACTGGGTAACGGGCCAAACCGTCTAAATCGATCGACGTCTACCTATTTGGGCGGCTCAAGTCACTATAGGTACGTGTAAACTCTAAATAGATGTTTATACGTTATAGGCGTGCCCAAGAGGGAATATAAATGTTCCACGCTCTTCGCTCTTTTTTTGCCAGAAAAAAAAAATCCTTACAAATGCAAAAAACTGCTAGCTTAGGTAGGCACTGTCTTCTTTTCCGCGTTTTAGTATTTTATTATGGGTAGGTACAGTTTTATTATATATAATAAAACTGTACCTACCCGCAACAAACTTGCAGGGTATGTATTCGCGTAAGGTTCATCGGAAAGCCTGCACTAGCAGATTAATTGCACACCCCTGACTGACCCCCAACGTCGGGTCACACACTTTCCGAGAGAGCCCCCCAATGGACGTTCATGGATGTAGAGCACATGTGACTGATGCTACTTGTCGGACTTTCGCACCCGTCTTGAGTTCATGAGATGTTAGATAGGGACGAAAGTCCGACAACTACCATCGGTGCAACTAACACCTCGTCTCAAGCATTCCGAAGAATTGTAGCATCCGATGAATATGCTCATGTGTCCTAAGAACATGGTCCTTGGTTATTGCTTCCCACAGTCATATTGGATATTGAAAGCGATTGACCGTTTAACGTGCTTTTTATGTTTACTTATAAAATATAGCTGCTCAGCCAGCAATATAAGTTGAAAGGGTATGGTAAGCTACTACGTGCCGGAGATATTCGCTTGTAATTTTTACGGCCGCAATATGGACAAATATCGTGCTTATTACGACCCGGCACTAAAACTGTTTCAATCAGATCAATTTCATCGCTGTTCGCTCTTGATCCTCGGGGAAATTTAATGAACTTTATGGTTTAAGGTCGCCTTATGGGCAGACGGCTCGCAGTTCTTAGATATTGCGTCATTCAATGCCTGAGTCGGTTTTAAATGTTTTGACTTTAATAAACCTGCCAGCTGCTGGGTCTCGCTGCAGCGCGAGGTGAAAATATCCACCTACATGAACGTTTAATTAAATTTCAGTTGCATCTCCTGAAGACCGAACAATAACATAAATATTAGTAAGGTAGGTATACCTATGAATTAGCTTTATAGCCGTCTAAGTGATGCAACTGTTAGTTAAAAGCTATTGAAGGTGCGAATTAATTTACCTCTTATTAACCCTATTAGTGGCAGGGGGGGTGTTTTCATCCACCCCTCAGGTTTTTCGGGAATATCTCCAAAACCGCTGAAGCTACGATGCTGAAATTTTCTGACTTTTCCTAAAACTAAATTGGGCACATTCCCTGAAAATTTCAAGTTCATAACTTTACCAGGGGCGGCTCCAGAGCACTGGGAATTGGGGAGTCCTATTCGTGAAGCGAGTCATTTTGGGCGAAGATCACGATGCTGAGCACCAGTTTTACGAACAGTGAATGAAAGGTATCATGTGATAACATATACAAAGTTGTTGTGCATCCTCTTTTGACACGTTTTTGCTATAATAGGCGGATCCAGGCGTCCAAAAAGGGGGGTTATGTTTTACTTCCCAACATAGGTGCCCTGACACCACCTATGCATGACCAATACAATTGTAGTCGTTCTCTCATAAGAAAATTGTAACATAACAAGACCATTGCCACCCTTTTTAGAAACAGTACCAACAAAAACCTTATTTACTATACTTTTTATGTACCCCAATCTCAATGATCTGTATCCGCCTATGATTTTTGAAAATGCATATTTTTAGGATCCATGTGAATTCCTGGTTCATTCTCTATCGATCGGCAAAAGTTGCGTTAACCCGCGCGGGGCTGGGGTCTCCAGCCGAACGCGCGGGGCTGGGGGGGGGGTAAATTTTACCCCCCTGTTATCTCCCGAACTAATGGTCCGATTTGGAAAATTCAAACGCCAATCGAAAGCTCTCATCACGAACTACTAAAAACATTTACTTAATTTAAAGTTTGAGGTCAAGGTCAAGGTCAGGTCAAGGGTACAAATTGCAAGTTTCTACAGTATCGGCCTTGCACCGTAGTTGCCGAAGAATGGAGTCATGGACTGAGACTGATCGCCCAAAACGTGTTCTTAGGCTACCAAGACAATATCCGTTGCATGCAACATCATTCAGAGGTCAAGGTCAAGGTCAGGTCAGGTCAGGTCAGGTCACCAAAAACAAAATATAGAAAAAGGCATGTGCGACACATGTTTTATGGGTCATTTTACTCATAGAATTCAATAGGTACACTCAATAAGTGATATGGACCACCTCTGGATGAATTTCAGGTCGAGGTCAGGTCAAGGTCAGGTCAAGTGAGGTCAAATTTTGAAGTTGGTTGTTAAGGCCTAAAAAGGTGTCTATCTGATGCTGTTTTTCACGGCGAATCGAATGGTGCTATTTTTGTTTCCGTACGAGGTCTAGAACTTCCAAAAAAGTCATTTTTCAAAAAAATTGTGTGTCGTGACGTCATAAAATTTTGAATAACTCCCACATTTTTGAACCGATTCTTCTAAAATTTGGTATGTAGGTGCACATAGACCACTTGTCTGACATATATTCCGGTTTTTTCGATAGACTCAAAATTTTGGATTTTATAATGATTTTCCCAAAAAAGTCAGTTTTTTGAAAAAATTTAGGCCAAAATCCAAAATTTAAAAAAAAAACCGAGATAGCTATTTGATAGACAAAGTAAAATTACGTATAACCTTTTTTTGTTACGTCTTGATTCCTTTAACCCGCGCACCGACGGGGGGGGGGCGGATATCCGCCCCCCCCCCTGAGGTTTTTCGCGGATAGCGGGAAAACCGCGGCGCCGCGAAATTTGGTATGACTATTCTCTAATCAATTTTACACATGGTGTACAAGTTTGAACCTCCTAACTTCTAAGGTCAGGTCACCAGGTCACTTTGAATGACCCAACCTCAAGTCACTTTTTTGCAACTTTGTCACCGTGCCAGAGCTACAGTAGATGTCGGAGGCCTTTGAAAGTCGCAGGATGTTGTTAGGTCATTAGTAGCTACAATTTGTATATCTCGGAATTTTGATGTCGGTGACCTAAGGTCAGGTCAATTTCGCGACCTCCCCATTATAAGTCAATGGGGAAAAATCAACTCCCTGTTTTTACCACTAAAACGGGTCGGAATGGCCCCATATACCATACATGACTTCACATACGATCAACCTTCACTACCTTGAGGTCTGTTTTGCTGTTGGGCAGCTGTAAGGTCATGTGACGTCATCAAAGGTCACCAAAGGTTTTTTGCCAATAACTCCTTACAGGAACAAGATACAGCCGCGCGGATGGTCTCATTGTGTTCAGCTCGTCAAGACGCATCGAATGATATGCATGATGACCTCGAGGTCACGTGACCTGAGGTCAACCTTTGACCTTGACCTTTCGAGGTCAACATATATATCATTCGATGCGGATTGACGAGAGGATCACGATGATGCCATTAGTTTGTTCCTATCTTGACTACGTCGAAAGTTATTCGAGAAAAACCCTCTCCATATCTAGCGCCGCCATTTTGACTTTTTCGACCCCTGTGACGTCATCTTTGACCTGACCTGAAAATGACCTTAGTAAAAATTGTAGACCTTGTCCGTGCGTATCCGATGCCGTTTACCGCTTGTCGCTATCTTGCTTCGTTCTCGAGATCTCAGGGGGGGGGCGGTCATCCGCCCCCCCCCCCCCGTCGGTACTAAGTTGGCGCAGACCCCCGTCGGTGCGCGGGTTAAAAATGAAGATGTTAGCGGCGTTTGAACTTTTTCCGTTTTTGAGGCGAAAATGGCGAACATGACGTCACTAGAACGTAAATTTCTCAAAAAATTTCCGACGGATTTCGCTCAAATTTTCAGGGAACGTGTCAAATTGATGTAAGAAAAGGTACTGAAAGTTTGGCGGCGCTGCGCGCCGCCGTTTTTGAGATATCGCAAAAATTCGCGAGGGGGGGGGGGGTAAAATTTACCCCCCCCCCCCAGCCCCGCGCGGGTTAAGATTGGTTCAGAAACCTGGCCGTGATAAGCAGTCTAAAATGTATTTGCAATTTGCCCGTTTTTACTCCCCTCTACTTTTTACTCCCCCTCCCCTATTGACATTTTTTAATTTTTATTTTTTAGAAATGTAGATCACGTTGAGCGAAATCGAATGCCGTTTGAATTTTGAAAATCGGCCCGTTAGATCTCGAGATATCAAGGGGGTCGTAAACAGCGCCCCCCCCCCTGCCACTAATAGGGGTAGCCAGGAGCCTGCCACTAATAGGGTTAATCATGCTTGGTTTGAAATTCCCGATGCCGATGATGAATAAATTGTAATTGATTTATTTTATTACGTACAAGTCATTACTACGAGTGCGTCCACTGTTACATCGCTTTAGCATCTAAGATGAAAAACAAAGGAATCAAAATATCTGCTTTCACCGGTAGGAAAAAGAAATTCAACGAAGAAATAGTCATCTAACACTAAAAATAATTATTTTATACCAGTAATTCATTAATGGAGGGCCTATTTAATAAACGTTACTAGGTATTTTTTTGTGATGAACATGCCTCAGTACGTGCAACAATGCGGTCTGTAAAATTAGCCGTCTATTCCCTCGCCTCTGAACTAATGAAAGCGCATTTACGATAAAAAGAGAAACTGAATTCGTGAGGACCACGCCGTGTAATGATAAGTGAATTTGTCGACCTGGCTTGATTCTACTGGAAACGTACATAAAGTTGTCAACGTGTTAGTGGATGCATAAAAGTTC